GCAACCCACCAACTTACACTCTTCACCGGAGAAGGAAACACTGGGGAAGGCCTCGCCTTCCGATCCTTAAGCCACGCCCAACATGGAAGCTCCACGTCTTCCCATTGGCCGAGGAAAGCGGACTTCCACGCACCCTCCCGGCGGGCCCGGCTATAGGCGGAGAGGCAGCGAGAGGCGGGACCTAGAGGGCCGCGCCCCTCAGTGCTGCGGCTTCGGTCCCGTGGTTCTTTGTACGCTACTCGTTCACCAAAGGAGAGCTGGGTTCGCCGAGAGGCGCCGGGGGTCCCGAGAGTTGCTCTCCCTAGAAGTGGCTTAATCCTCCCTCACACCCGAGCCCCATCCCTGCCAAGCTGCGCCCCCGCAACCCCGCCCTAACCCATCCCGGCTCTGTCAAGTTAAGATTCGTGAAAACTACAACTCCCGGCGCGCATGGCGCCGAGATCTGCCTTCCACGAATCAGGTGGCTGGGGTCAGGTGACAGCCGACCCGCCCTCACACAAAGTCTAGCCGGCCAGGGGAAGCTGGCACATTCCGGAGCAGCATCTGCCCGAGATTCCTGCTTCCCGTGTGGCCGATCCCCCGAGCCTGGGAGGCTCCTAGGTGAGAGTCGGTGCGGCCCGGACGGCCTCCCTTCATTTCCCAGGCGAACCCCTTGGGGCCCAGAGACTGGCACAGCACGTCGGTGGTGCAACCCGCCGCGGACCCAGCCCCTCCTGGCCGCACCTGGGTCCCATCCCCTGTCACCAGTCTTGACCTCGCCACACCAGACGGCCCCCAGGTTGAAGGGCCCGGGAGGGAGAAAGAGGGAGGTAGTGAGGGCAGGCAGTGACACCAGGCTGCCGGGTGGCGTTGGTGTCTCTACCCCAGTGCAGTTGCAAACCCCCTCCCTGATTCCTACTCAGTTGCCCCGGAATCTGGGTTGGGGAGTTTGCATTGCTTTGCAGAGGGGAGACGCTGAGAGGACCTTTACAGGAGCTCCTATATTGACTGCTGATTGCTGGGCTCAGAGGAGCTGGGCAGGACCAGACCTCACCCTGCCCTCCTGGGTTTTCAGACTGGAGGAAGTGAGAACTCCGGGGCCCTGCCTTTTTCAATAACATAGAGGAAAATCACCTATGCTTTATGAGAGCTAGCTAGTGTCCTAGGCAACAGAAATAGCCACTTGATATCGTTTCTAAACCTTTTTATACCTACCAACTCCTTCTCATGAAATTTTAATACCACTGATAAACTCTGTATTTGCTTATGTACTGTGGCCCTTTGGAGGGTCACGATCCTTATAATATTTAAGTTTTTTCATTCCCCCTCTCCAAGAGTCAATTTTAGTCCCAGTTGAGAATTTATTTAAAACCTCATGGGTAATGATCCCATTCATTTTCCCATTAGGAAATTGAAGCTTGAGAAGATTAAGTAGTACCACGAGGTCACATAACTAATAAATGGGGGAGCCCAGGTTCAGACTATATCTGGGGCAAATATTCCTTGCCACTCTCTGTTGCCTCTCCAGAAGTGGGAAACCCAGGAAGTTCCAGTTTGTAGAACAGAGAACTCATACCTGGCAGAGAGGAGCTGCCACAGATGTTGCTCCTGGGAAGGGATCAAAGGGTGAGAGAGGTTTCTTGAAATGTGACATCTGAATGAAACCTGGATGATAGAATTTACACAGGGAGCCAAGCCTGGTGGTTCACACCTGTAATCCCAGTAGTTGGGGAGGCCAAGGCAAGAGGATTGCCACAGTCCAGGAGTTCAAGACCTCATCTCTACAATAAACAAATAAATAAAAATATCCAGGCATTTTGGCGCACACCTGTAGTCCCAGCTGCTTGGAAGGCTGAAGCAAAAGGATCACCTAAACCCAGCAGATCAAGGCTGCGGTAGCTGTGATCATGCCACTGCACTCCAGCCTGGGTGACAGAGTGAGACTGATTCAAAAAAAAAAAATTACACAGGGAGAAGAACATGCCAGACAGAGTCTATCAAAGGGAAATACTTCTGTCCTATCTTGCAGCTTTCACAAGCCACGAATTGTGTATAATTATCAATTTGAGTTCTTAACATTTTATTTTATTTTATTTTATTTATTATAGAGACGAGGTCTTGCCAAGTTGCCTGGGCGGGTCTCAAACCCACGGACTCAGGCAATCCTCTCGCCTCAGCCTCCCAAAGTGCTGGGATTACAGGCTGAGCCACTAAGCCCGGCCAAGTTCTTAACATTTTAATTGACTTATCTCTCAAAGTCCATCTCCCCTGACTATTTCTTCCAGCTTTCTCAGTCTTTGAGGCTAGGGGACTTTTGCTGACCAAGTCTTGTCTTGGAGTTTGAGGAGCTAGTTAGACCTGATTCTGCATCTGATTTCCAAAGGAAAACCCAGACTCTTCTCGGAGGAGTTAAATGAATCCTGAACTTGAGGGCACAGGGCAGACATGAGGGGCAGAGAGCAGCAGGGTTGAGAGTGAGGCCTGTGGTCACTCCATATATACAAGAGGGTAATTCCTCCAAGGTCAGGGGATGGGGGCGAGGGGACAGAGAATGCAGGATCCAGTACCCAGAGCCTGACCCCCAGAGGAAGCCAGAGAGTGAGGGATCAGTACTAGCAGGTAGGAGTGATCCTGGGACGGGACCTTAAGGAATCAGGCAAGATATACAGCAGGCAGAGAGGCCCCTGGAGGAGTATGGGCAGGCAGATGTTAGACAGGCTGGAGCAGTCAGGGAGACACCTTGAGGAGTATGGAAGGGAGGCATTAGGAGGCTCCTGGACGCCTTGGGGAAACTGAAACCAGTGTGGGAGCAAGCATGTTACCACAAGGACCTCATCCAGCTCTCCCCACAATTTTCAGGAACCCCCAGAGGTTGTGAGGGGTAAAAGAGCCTGAGCATTATACACTGAGGCAACATGTCGAAATCAAGTTATAGAAATCCACACTGATCTGCCCCATCTTGACCCATGGTTCACCTATTGTGTACTGAAGTTATGGAACTCGGCACTAAACCAATGAGCTGCTCCAGGTCTCTTCCCTCCGTCAGTCACCGTTGTGAGCGATCCTAGCCAGTCCTGGAAAGGTGGCACTTGTCAAATGAAAAAGTCTTCATCAAGGGTCAGATGGTGTCATTAGCCATTGGACTCTTATCCCAGGACAGGAAATGAAATTAAGTTTGCTAAAAATTAATTTTTTTTAGGTTCACATAGTCAAGTATCTGACCACTGTTTTAATAACTTTGGGAGAAAAAGAACCTCAAGTCAGTAAACCTGCATTCTTTCTGTCTGTCAAGTTGCAAAAAGCAGGCCAGGCTCGGTGGCTCAGCCTGTAATCCCAGCACTTTGGGAGGCTGAGGCAAGTGGATTGCCTGAGCCCACAGGTTCAAGACCCACCTGGGCAACTTGGCGAGACCTCATCACTACAATAAATAAAAAATTAGCTGGATGTGGTAGCACGTACCTATAGTTCCAGCTACTTGGAAGGCTGAGGTGGAAGGTTCGCCAGAGCCCAGCAGGGCAAGGCTGTGGTGGCTGGGACCATGCCACTGCACTCCAGTCTGGGTGACAGAGTGAGACTCCTACTCAAAAAAAAAGTTGCAAAAAGCAGTTAAGGAGGGAAAAATTGAGGTCTTTGTTCACTTCCCCCTGGTTAGACTTGAAACAACCCATTTGGCTGCTCTGAGTTCATGTCTTCATATGCCAAAGAATGATAAGTCCTCTCTGGATTTCCTGCTCCATGGTTGTGATGCAGAGCCCATGAGGTCAGATGTGTGACGTGAAAGTCCTTTATAAGCTGTCCCCTGCCATGTCTCCAGATAGCACATTGTCCACCTAGAGCTGAGCTGATTCAACCTCAGTGAGAATTTCTCTCTTGTTTTTGGTTTTTCTTCCTAGTTCTGAGAAACTGGAGAACATGGTAAAGAATTGGCTGATTATTTTGGTCCTTTTTCCCCTGAAGCTCATAGAGAAATGTGGTAAGTTTAGAAATGAGCCATCAACTGTAAAGAGGGAAGGAGTGATGATAGGAATGAGTAGACTAACTGGTTTGTTGCCAAGGGTCTAGTGCAATCCAGACCACGTGTGTCTGCCCATTGGCCAGGTGGCCACTGGGGTTGTGGAGCAGACCCAAATCTGGGGTCCAGGAATTTTACAAAGAGCCAGATGGTTTCACAAATCATTGGCCTTCTGCCTTGGGGGTCCCTGTCACCTTTTCTATATTACCAAAATCAAGCAAGTTGGTTCTTAAAGCCAGACTAAGCACCTGACTCTCAAAGTCACACCGTGGAGCCTCAACAGTCTGGAATGTCTTAAAGAATGGTTTATGCCCTTGCCCTGTAAACCTAGCAGAAAGAGTATTGGGACCTGGGAGACACTGGGGACCCAGATGAAGTGACTGACCTGTCATACCTGATTCTGCCAGGCTCAGACACCTGGAGAGACTGCCCAGCATCTTCTTGTAAGACAAGAAAACCTTTCCGTTAGGGAGGGGCTGAGGAGCAGGGTACAGCAAGTCTAGGGACCAGACAGAACACAGGCTGGTATCAGAGTTTACACATCCTTGTGGGAGGACTGACCTACAGAGCAGGCCCCTTCAAGGCCCACGTCACTTGTAACTTTAGCAATTCACCCACTGCCCAAAACATTTCTGGAATTCCTTCCACAAAGAACTGTGTTTAACACTCCAAGGAGGCCGGGCCATTAATTTCATCCTCAGCTTGGCTGTTGTCAAAAATCAAATGCATCTTAAAATCTTTGACTAAAGCTTTCAAGTGAAGCTCGTACAAACAATATAAATCCCACAGAAGTTTCCCAGGAGCAGAGCACCATGACAGTTATCTGTCTTCTTGAATCTCTAAAGACATGGTGATCATCTGACCTCTTTTAGGTTTGTTAAACAATTGGTTATGTTCCTTTGTAGTCGCACCTTGTAGATAAGCAATTTCTAGGAAAGAAAAGGTCCTTCAGACTGTGGAGCCCAGTGTTTCTCAATACTGATACCAGAGCCCCGCCCCAGCACTGCTAAATCATAGACTCTGGGACTAAGGCCAAGGATTTATCGGGGTAGGGGGTTTGTACAGGTGTGCACTCATGTGCACACTTAACACCTCATTAGTCATGCTGATGCAGTCTGGGGGATGGGGAACAAAAACAAAAAAGAAAATCCAGCCACCACCACTTCAATTATACAGAGGGGAAACTGAGGCCCAGAGAGGGTAGTAGGCTTCCTCAAAGTCACACAGCTATAAAATAACAAAGCTGAGGGCTGTATAGGATCCCTGCTGCATTACATCACTGTGCATCCTTTCCTGAATGTTCTTAGAAGAGAATCGTGGAGGCTACCATAAAATCAAGTAACTGGAACTGGATTTCCAACTCACTCTGCTGTGCCTTTCTACTCTGTGCTTTTGGGAGTGAATATTGAGGACCATAGATGAGATGAGAAGCCAGAGACAAAAGACTCTTCAGACAAAAGTCTTTTGTCTCTGACTTCTCTGGGTGGAACTTTGAGGCAGCCTAGTGGCATGAATCTCGGCTTGGACTAGACAGGCCCAGGTTTGACTCCTGCCTCTACCATTTTCGAGCTATGTGGCCAAGGCACCTTTCCTCTTAGAATTCTCAGTTTCCTTACACCTAAAATAGGAAGAACAGTGCCTATGTCTCACTGTTGTAAATAATTAGAAAATGGGCTGGCATGGGGCGGGTACAGAGTAGGAGAGGTACCTCTAAGTATTTGTTTAAGAAACCAGACTCTCTCTGGAGGAAACTTGGCATGGTCTCATTACAACTCGTTTGGTAATCCCGGTATTATGCATAAAGCCTCCTACCCCAGCTCAAACTTTAAAACGTGCTTTCCCAGGATATGATGCCAGCTTCCTATCCGCCTCCCATCTTGGGCTAAACATGTCCTACAGTTATTACATGATGATCCTAATAATAATCAACAATTATTTAGCACTCAGGCCACTCAAAGTGTGTTATAAATATGACTGCATTTTATCTTCACAGTGACCCTTGGAGATAGGTCTTGTTATCCTCCTATTTTACAAGTGAGGAAATGGAGACTCAGAAAGGTTAAGCACCTTACCCATCATGGTCATATAGCCAGGAAGTGTCAGAGCTAGATAGGAACTGTGACTACAGAGTTCAATATCTCTGCTGCTGAGCACTGATGCCTTCTGTGGTGCTACATGTGTGGGAAGTCAATGTTTTCTGATCTGGTTCTTTGAGAGTTCACAATCTCCTCTCAAAGTGCAAAGACTGGAAGAGCTAGGGTCCAGTGGATCTCCCACTCACCTTGACCACCGTCCAGCAGAGCCCTAGGGACCCAGAGGTGCAGGCATCTGCCTGGCATCACAGCCAGTATCCTGTCCTGAGGAGCAGCTGATTCTGGGACTTGCTTATCTGGCATAGTCCTCAGCTCTGGGTGAAACTGAGCAGGCAGTGGCAGGAAGTCCTGCACTGCCCCCGCTGTGCAAGCCCAGAACAAAGCCTCAGAATGCCCTCAGAGCAGCAAGCAAGAAAAAGAAGGGCAGAGTTGCCCAAGCTGCCTCGGGGCCCTGAGGCTCCACAGAAAGGATGAACTGTCTTCCGCTGCTCTGAGAAGCTAGATCTCTGCAAGGGCCAGGGTGGAGATATCCTGCTCTGAGTGGCCCAGCCAAGCAATGAGGAAACTGGGAGTCTCAGCCTGGGGATCTGCCGACTCGACTCAGGACGGAGCTTCCATGTGCATTCACACGTGCAGGGCTAGTATGGAGAAGGCAGCTCAGACAGGTCTGAGAGGCCCCAGGTAGCAGAGCGGGGCCCAGGAGACCAAGTGTTGGGCTGGCCAAGTACCCTGGAGATGAGGTGACTATCTCTGGAGGAATCCAGGCAGAGGAAGAGAAACTACCTGGTAGGAGTTTTGAGAGGGGGATCGGGGGTTGAATTAGGTAACTTTAAGTTCCCTTCCAACCCAGACATCTAAAAGCCCAGATCTTAATTCTTCAGTTTCTGCTTTTGAGGGATATAGGTAGAGGGAGACTTGGGGCCTGTGGCAACGACCCCCTTCATCAGTTGGGCGCCTGCTTCCCCAGTCCAGCCAAGCTTCACAGTCACAACCTCTAGGCTGTACATAACCCTGAAGGCCTATCATGGCCATGGGTGCTGTATGACCATGAAGTCTGAGGGGCAGGGAAGGTGAGATGGGAAGGTGTGGCACAGGCTTTCAGCACACCTGGGATGGGGGTGGGGTTGTGGATGCCCAAAGAATGCAGGAAGCGCTCAAAGAGAGCCTCACTCAGTCTTGTTCTGTGACCGAGGTACTCTGGGGTATTTGACCTCCCAAGATGGATTTCTAAGACCCAGACCTGCTTTCTCCTTCATCCAGGGAACCTATTTGTTGACTTTAACTTGAGTTTACACCTAAATGCCAAGAAGCAATTCCTGAGCATGAAGCAATGTATATTGTTCACTCTTCCTCTTCCTGTCTCCAGCATATTTGTCAGTAAGTGGGTTAAGCTTGGTTAGTAGGGGGGCCCAAAGTATTGTTCAGAAACTTGTTAGCTGGGCCCCTTGTGTCTCTCTGGACAGCTCTTCAGGGCCATTCTAGCTCCATGAACAGAGGAGACCCTGCGCTTTCCATCTGAAGAAGTGGTTCGAGTCTGCCTTTTACAATCCCAGAACACAGTTTGAATTCCTTTGTGGTACTTTTTGGGCTTCATGGTTCTCAGTCTTACTCTGAGCAACTCAGCTGCAGACCCTCAGAGCCTGTCTGTGCAGGGCGGGGAGGAAGCTACAGTGTTTTCTTCTCGGGCCTGTGTTTTCCTCTGTCTCTGTCTGGCAACAGATGGGGGGAAAGCCTGATGAGAGCCCAGGTTTCCAGTCCCATCACGAAATAGGGGTCATCAGTGAGACAGAACTCATGAGTTTAGACATCAGGGGACTGCAGGTCTGAGCTCTCTGACCTGCTGCTTCATGTCATTGATTTGGGTCCTTCCAGAGTCGACCTTCAGCCTCACTGTCCCTCCCGTTGTGAAACTGGAAAATGGCAGCTCAACTAACGTCAGTATTGCCCTGCGGTAAGTTCCCAGGCCCGGAGCTGTCCTTAGCCTTACTCGGACCCCATGGCTGGATCAGGGCTGACTCCTGGCTCAGTCCATATTTCAAATGTGATACTCTTGCCTCTCCATTGCCTCTCTACTGTAAGACAAGCCATAGAAAGAGAAGTGGTGCTACCCCCAAGCTGCAGAGTGGGGTCCCAAAGTCTGACCCTCATGCTGAATCCTTGCTTCCACTGGGAGGAAGTGGAAGAGGTGCTTCTCCCAGAGACATGGGTTCTTTACCCAGGTAGGAATAGTCTTGAGTGACTGGCAGTTGATGCCAGACTTCAAATTGTCCTTTCTGTGACTAAATATTGGAAGAGAGCACTGAAGATCAAGGGGCAAAGAGCTGAGCTATTGATCAGCGTTTCTGAGGCTGCTTCCAAAAGCAGAAATGACCACATCATGGACCCCATTCATGCAATACTCATGCTTGGCCTGATCTGAGAGTCTCACTTGTTGACGTCTGCTAGTGCAGGCATGAGTGTCCCGACTAAGCCAAGAGACTGCCTCTTTCTTCTCTACCCCTAGCTGCTGTGTCCTGCCCTTGTCTCCCAGCCAGAAGGGTTCCCTGAGAGGAATATCCAGAACCCTGTCCTTTTCTCGCCTTTCCTCGCTTCTCCTGGGAGGTCAGATCTCACACCAAAGCTTTGGCTTCAAGTCTCCCAGCAGCCTTCCATTCCCAGCTCCTGCCAACTCTGCACATGGATGCCTTGTAAATCATCCAAGTCGTCCTCTCACCACAATTCTCCCCTCTCCAGAAACCTTGAGTGGCTGCCACTGCCTTCCAAATTAACTCCAGGCCTCTAAGCCCAGAGTTGAGACCCTGATAGGCTGCTCCCAGCCAGCATGTCTACCTTATCCAGTCAAACACATCTCCCGGCTTTTCAGGGATACGTTGCTCTCTCCTCATGCCCTTCAGTGAGGTTCTGACCCTCACGCAAAGCCCTCTGCTCCAACCTGACCCCTTCCCCCCACCATAGCAGGGAACCAGTCCTGTCTGCCTCCAGATGTCTTGTTTGTCACTCATAGCCAGTTTGCCACATTCTCTGTTCTTACCCTACCCTCTAGGGAGATGGAGATCCAGGCTCCTGATGAAGTTAGGAGAACCCAAGGAGAGGGTTCTGTCTCTCTACCCCTCGGGGTTGAGCACACAGCATTTCCTAACCCTAATTGCTTGAGATCTGGAAGCCTAGCATGAAATCCAGAGGGTTGGTTGAGATCTCATGGTGTCCAGCATTTCCATGATAATGAGACTCTTTCTTCTCCAGGCAACCACTAAATGCAACCTTGGTGATCACTTTCGAAGTCACATTTCATTCCAAAAATATTACTATCCTTGAGCTCCCCAATGAAGTAAGTAACAAATCTTACCTGATGGGTAGGGAAATACTAGGTAACAAAACACATTTTAATTCAAAGCTTGTGGAACTAGATCCCCTGGGCTACCCACTTTCTGTCATTCTAGAAATCTAAGATTTTGGCTTTTTTGTTCTCTCTGGAGATGAGCATTGCATGCCCTGCATATGGAATTAAGAAGGTGATGGCAAGAAACCTGAGGCACAAGTAGTTCTGAGAAGGTAGAAGAAGATGGCTTTCTAAGGGCTGCTCAAAGGGCTTTCAAGGACCAGTAGCTTGGCCTGGCATGGTGGCTGATGCCTGTAATCCCAGCACTTCGGAATGCTGTGGTGGGATTGCTTCAGACCAGCCTAGGCCACATAGTGAGACCTCATCTCTACAAAATGTTATCAGGGTGTGGTGGCAAGTACCTGTAGCCCCAGCTACTTGGGAGGCTGAGAGGCAGGAGGATCACCTAAACCCGCAGGTCAAGGCTGCAGTAAATCATGATTTTGCCACTGCACTCCAGCCTGGGCCACAGAGTGAGACACCCCTCAAAAAAAAAAAAAAGGATGAGCAGCAGAGACCTTGCTTAATAACATTTTAGAAATACAGAATCCCAGGCCCCACCCCAGACCTACAGATTCCAAGTCTGCATGCTAGCAAGATCCCAGACGATTAGGGTCACGTTAAAGTTTGTGAAGTACTATTCAGAGACACCATCAGTTGGGTGCCATTTCCAAAAACCAGTGCCAGAGGCCATGTGGTCCAACAGTGATCATTATTTATAGCTCCATGCATCTATCTATCTGTAGTCCCCTCCTTCCACCTTAGCAAGGATTTGAGCTGTTACCATTCAACTGGATTAAAGAAACATAGAGAAGGCTGTAGCTTTGAGAGTAATTAAAGGTTTAAAAGGCAAACAAGACAAATGCAAGTCAGAACGAATAACTTGTAGAGCTCTGCACAGCATGGTGCCTAGAGTTAATAATCATGTATTGTATACTTGCAGATTGCTAAGAGATGAGACCTTAAATGCTCCTCGCACCTGCAGTCCTAGCTATTCATATTCCTGCCACAAAAAAATGATAAGTTCATGAGATGATGGATGTAGTTAATTAGCTTGATTTAATCATCTCACAATGCATGCATATATCAAAGTATCATGTTGTACTCTGTAAATATATACAATTTTTGTTTGCCAATTATACCTCAGTAATGCTGGCAGGGGTTGAGGGATGGAGGGAGGTGAATGCAGGGGTAAAATCAACAACCATGAGACATGTTGTGAGCACATAATGAGGCCCTGGGTGATTGTACAAATGGGATGCAAATCAGCTCTGAGTCCCCTAGCAAGCAAACAGGAGTGAAACATGATCAGTCTTAAGCATTTTGAAATCTGTGATCTGAAAAACACAGCGTTGCTGGGTGCAGTGACATATGTACATAGTCTCAGCTACTCAGGAGGCTGAGGCAGGAGGATCACTTGAGCCCAGGAGATCTAGGCTGTAGTGTGCTATGCCGATCAGGTGTCCACACTAAGTTCATCAGTAATATGATGAACTCTCAGCTGCAGGGGACCACCAGGTTGGAAACAGAGCAGGTCAAAACTCTCATGCTGATCAGTTGTGAGATCACGCCTGTGAACAGCCACTGCATTCCAGCCTGGGCAACATGAAAAGACCCCATCTCTGAAAAACATAAAAATGAAATAAATGTTTTTTTTTAAATTACAGCAGTTCTGAGAGGGGTTTCAGAGTATCTAGCTAAAAGAGGCTAGAGTGGAAGGTGGCTCTCATCCCCTGGTGAGCACCTTACCTTGTTAGATGGCCTCATTTCCCACAACTCCCCTTCCTGCCCCGGGCTATGAGGCCAGCACACAGGGCAAGGAAAGTCCCAGGGCAAGGAAAGCTGTTGATTCCAACAGCACAGGCCTCTGATCCTCAGATCAAATTTAGGCTTTCAGAGGAACAGACACTGATCTCCTAGTTTAGAGCCAAACATCTAAGTGAAAATGTCATTGTTTAAAAATCAGTGAAAGGCAAACATAATGTTAACCAAAGGAGCCTGGCCAATATAAGCTGAATATAAATAAGTACAAACTCAGACAAAGGGAATCCTTGGTGTCAGTCAGGGTTGCAGTTACCCTCAGGACCAGGAGAGGCTAGAGGGAGCAAAAGGGTTTCAGAGGACTTGTGAATGTTTTATTTCTTGCTCTGGGAGCTGGAAGCATTTGGTCTGTAGACATATCGTTAAGCTGTGAGGTTTGTACTTTTCAGCATGTATGTTCAATTTTTTTAAAAAATGTAGGCCAGGCTCAGTGGCTTATGCTTATAATCCCAGAACTTTCAGAGGCCAAGGCAGGAGAATTGCTTGAGGCCAGGAGTTCGAAACCAGCCTGGGCAACATAGTGAGACCTCATTTCTTTGAAAATTTTTCAAAATTAGCCAAGCTTGGTGGTACATACCTGTAGTCCCAGCTTTTCAGGAGACTGAGGTGGGAGGATCACTTGAGGCCAGGAGGTCAAGGCTGCAGTGAGCCATGATTGTTCAACTAAACTCCAGCCTGGGTGACAGAGGAGGACCCTATTAAAAATAATAACATTTTTTTAAAAGTTAACAGTGGAAATCAGACCATTTGTGTAAGATGACCTTCTTGGGCACCAACCACTTTTTCAGGCTCCTGCTTTTATGGCCCATTCCCACCCAGCTCTAACCACTCCTCCCTACTACCTGTGACACTGGAAGTCATTGATTAGTCAGGTGGTCTAGGAGCCTGGCCTGGGAGCCTTGGGTGAGGTACTTCGCACTGCCACAGCAGTTTTCTCATTTGTAGACTTAGGGTGACTAATGTCCTACTTGACAACCTTGCAAGGATCGAAAGCACTCACAAGTATAAAATGTCTAGGATTATTCCTGGCACATAGAAAGCACTTGGTAAAAGGTAGTGATTGTTATCATTTTATTCTGCTTTGTCAGTTGACTGATTTTCTCTTTGTCTAGTTCCAGAAGGGATTTAGTGGCTACTTACAAACATGCAAACAACATTTCAAGAAATATCTGTTCATAAGAAAAAGGGACCAGGTGTGGTGGCTCATCCCAGCATTTTGGGAAGCTAAGGCAGGAGGATTGCTGGAGCCCAGAAGTTTGAGACCAGCCTAGGCAACATAGTAAGACCTTGTCTCTACAAAATATCAAAGAAATTAGCAGGGTGCGATGGCACACAGCTGTAGTTCCAGCTATTCAGATGGCTGAAGCAGAAGGATCGCCTGAGCCCAGGAGGTTAAGACCGCAATGAGCCGTGATGGCACCACTACGCTCCTGCCTGGGTGACAGAGTGAGACCCTGACTCAAAAAAAAAAAAAAAAGAAAAGAAAAAGTGAGATGATAGGAAAATAAAAGAGCCAAGAGTAGTACATGAAGATGTAGCTTGTGAGGAGTGGACCATAAATTGGACTCTGGGCTTTGCAACAGCCACTTATACCATTTCAGTTGTTCTGCCAAAGCCCCTGACTTCTGATACCAGTATCAAAAAGGCAGCACTTCAAGGGTCCTCAATAAGAAGTTGCTGCAGCTGGGTTTGGTGGTGCATGACTATGGTCCCAGCTACTGGGAAGGCTAAGATGAGAGAATCACTTCAGCCCCGTTGACTGAGGCTGCAGTAAGCTAGGATCATGCCACTGCACTCCAGCCTGGGAAACAGAGCAAAACCTGTCTCTTTTTAAAAAAAAAGAGAGAGAGAAGAGGAAGAATCCACTGCAATCTAATGAGTTGGATCCTTACAGTACCTACAATATGGGTGGAGGACAGGACAGTATTATCCAGGGAGCAAAGAGGTTGGAGACAGGGGAGGCAGTGTGGTTCAGTAGGGATATGCTGCTTCCTGCTGCTCTGTAGAGTTTGAAAGTCTGGAGGAATGATAGAAACCAGATGCTGCAGGCTCTGAGTCCTTTTCCTTGGAGCAAAGCGTTCAACAAATATTGGGCAGAGACAAAGGTGAAAAAGCATTCTCCTTGCCAGGTATCTGGTATATGCTCCTCTTCTGTTTTGTCACTTGGCAGCCAGGCTGGGTACACCCTTTTGTGGATACTGAGGCGCCTAGTCATGGTGGAATTGCCGCTATGGTAAAGCAGCGGCAGAAAGCACGTATGGCTTGCTGTGGGCTAGGTTCCATACTGTGGGCTTCACAAATGTCCTGTCTTTCACGGCAGCCCCGGAAGGTGGACATTTCTGTTACAAATGCACAAACTGAGATCAGGCTGGGATAACTTGCCTGAGGTCACACAATGAGAGGAAGAGAGCCATCCCACCTTCCCTCAGAGATGGGGGTTGGGGGGCCTGAGGACAAGGCCATAGCTCTGCCTAGAAAGTGCGTAATCCCAGCACTTTGGGAGGCTGAGACGAGAGGATTGCCTGAGCTCAGGAGTTCGAGACCAGCCTGGGCAACTTAGTGACACCTCATCTCCACAATAAATCAAAAAATAAGCCAGGCATGGCAGTGCGTGCCTGTAGTTCCAGCTACTTGGAAGGCTGAGGCAGAAGGATCGCCTGGGCCCAGTAGGTCAAGGCTGGGGTGGCTGTGAGTGTGCCACTGAGCTCCAGCCTGGGTGACAGAGTGAGACTCCGACTCAAAAAAAAAAAAAAAAAAAAAGGCCAGGTATAGTGGTTTATGTCCATAGTCCCCAGCTACTTGGGAGGCTGAAGCAGAAGAGTTGCCTAAGTCCAGAAGTTGAGGCTGCAGTGAGCTGTGATAATGCCACTGAACACCAGCCTAGATGACAGTGAGACTCCAACTCAAAAAAAAAAAAAGTGTGATGCAACGATATACAAGGGTTCAAGTCGACTGTGGGCCCTGGGATTCTTCTTTGGCTAGGAAGCTCATGGACGGCAGGCTGTAAGCGATGTGTCCCTCGTTCCCTAGTGCATAGCCTGGAGCTAGACGCTTAGTGGGGCCCTCAGGAATGGCATGCCTTGGATCAAATTCAGTCTTCCTGACAGGTCGTGGTGCCTCCTGGAGTGAGAGAGTCCTCTTTTCAAGCGACGTCTCAAAATGTTGGACAAGTTACTGTTTATCTGCATGGAAATCATTCCAACCAGACTGGGTAGGCTGGCCTCAGGCCATGTGGGCCTTATGGGACAGGAAGGGAGGCAGGGCTGGCCACATGGGGTTTTCTTTGGAAACCCAGCCTCAGCCTCATCCCAGTCCCTAAATTCCTTTCTAGCCCAAGGATACGCTTTCTGGTGATCCGCAGCAATGCCATTAGCATTATAAACCAGGTGATTGGCTGGATCTACTTCCTGGCCTGGTCTATCTCCTTCTACCCTCAAGTGATCAAGAACTGGAGGCGGAAAAGGTAACCTGCTGAGCTTGATGTGCAGCTTCGCTCGGGGCTATAGGCAGCATGGGGTCAGACTTCCCGTCTTCTCTCTGCCTACCCCTTCAAGAAGGTTGTCCTGATGTGAAAGCTCTCTCTAAGAGCCTGGGGAAGACTTCCAGTGCTGGGCATTTGGTCCCATGCCCAGCTCAGCCCCTCCCTGCCCATGAATGTACAAAGTGGGACGTCTCAGTTAAGTGGAGAATGGACTGGAACATTGGGTGTAATGGCGGGGGTCTGCCCCGAATCTACTCTGCTCTCAGTCTGTCCAGCCCTGGGAGACTTAGGCGTCCACTCGCCTTAGAGATGAAGCAGCCCCATCTTGACTTGCACCTTGCTGCAGTGAGGACACAAACTCCTGCAGTCACCCTGGCCGTGCGGGCCTCTTAGGGGGATGCCAAGCAGAGAGCAGGGCAGAGAGGCCTGCAGACTTCGCTTTGGGGGCCAGGACTTGAGCAGAGAAACTTCAGGAGGGAGGGAAGGGAGAAGGGAACTGGCTCTCGTGAGGGCAGGGATTGGGTGACATCCACTGTGGTATCAGGAGGGACCTCAGGACAATGCTCTCCTTGAGGACTGAGCCCTCTTCCCCCGTGTACTAGGAGCTCTGTCCCTCCCATTCTCCATGGGCCTTACCTCCTGCCCTGCCTTGTCCCTTGCATCCCCCGCAGCGTCGTTGGTCTGAGCTTTGACTTCGTGGCCCTGAACCTGATGGGCTTTGTGGCCTACAGTGTGTTCAACGTCGGCCTCCTCTGGGTGCCCTACATCAAGGTATGGCCCTGCCCGCCCCCACAGGCCTGAGCCGCTTGATGGCCCCACTGCCCCTCCCCACTCAGCTTCTCCCACCCCCCAAACAGGAGCAGTTTCTATTCAAATATCCCAACGGAGTGAACCCCGTGGACAGCAATGACGTCTTCTTCAGCCTGCACGCGGTTGCACTCACGCTGGTGGTCATCATGCAATGCTGCCTGTATGAGGTGAGCACTCAGGCCTGGGCCTGGCCCCCCACAGCTGCCCTAGCCCACCCCCGCCACCCCTGCCTGCCATTTGACAGAAGATGCAGTGACCCTTGGAAAGGGAATAGTTGCGTTCATCAGCATCTACTCCCCAGGCCTGGATAACGGGACTAGATAATATGCCCAGCACAGGGAGTGCCCTGTGAGTCCAAGCCCTGAGGGCCCCCCCGCAAGTCTGGGGTGAAGGACACAGAGACAGTGATGAACTGCAAGCTGAGAGCCATTCAGCAGGGGGAGCACAGGCAGCTCATGGAGGCAGAGTGGAGGTCCTGAGCCCCGCCAGGGAGGGGGAGAGGGCATCAGGTAACCATCCAAGGATGAGTGACTTTTCCATGGCAAAGGAGGAGGTCAAGCAGGATCACTCCCTGTGCAGGGGACAGATGTGGAGGCCAAGGGGCATTTGAGAGGAATGTGAACAGATGAGTGCAGCCTGGGTTCAGGGGCCAGTGGAGGAGCAGGTCCCTGAGCCGTCAGGAGGGCCCCAAGTGGGTGCTGAGGAGCCTGGACTTGGCCTTGTCACTGGGGGCCAGCAGTGTCTCCGCAAGGAAGGGTACTGCTGGGGCCGTTTCAGGGAACCCCGATGATGACTTTGCCTTCCCTTCTCCCTCAGGGTCATCCCTTCACACGCTGTGCAAGGCCAGCCAGGGCTGTTTGGCCCCCACCTTTATGAATCTTCTAGGTTTTCTTAGCTGTGATGCTTGGGTGAAGGAGGCCCACACTGCAGCCGTGTCTGGGGAAAAGCAGGGGTGGGGGACAGAGTCCTGAGATCGTCAGGCTCCTCATGGATCATGGAAGGAGTCAGCGCCTGGGCTGGGGCCAGAGTGTGGAGGTAATGTCCCCAGCCCCTTTGCTACTGAGTGAGCTCTGAGGCATCCAGTTCTGCAAAGTGAGAACAAAGTGCGGACAGGAGCTGGAGAGTCCAAGATGGATGGACAGGAGACCCTGATAGGAAGAAGGCATGGCTGGTGCCGGGGACATGACCCCGAAGGCCTGACACCTTACCCGGCCCAGGCGTTGACTCTCTCCATGACCCAGGTGGAGCATAGTGATCTCGAATCTGTCTTCCACCCTGGCCTTCCCTGGGTCATGGCCCGAGGACAGGCCCCCCTCACACTGGCTTCTTCGAGGCTAGGGTCCAGCCTCACACTCCCCCTGCAGCCTGTCCCCCACCCCTCTTTCCAAGCCCACCCCCATCAAGGCCCTGCAGTAGCCTCAGTGCCCCATCCACACCCCTGCCCCCTCCTCTCGTCCACAGCGAGGCAACCAGCGTGTGTCATGGCCTGCCGTGGGCTTCCTGGTGCTCTCGTGGCTCTTTGCGTTCATCACCATGATTGTGGCTGCCGTCGGAGTGACCACATGGTTGCAGTTTCTCTTCTGTTTTTCCTACATCAAGCTGGCGGTCACGCTGGTCAAGTATTTTCCACAGGTACTTCCAGGGCCTGCCTGCATTCCATATGGCCGGTAGTATGAGGAATGGGGGGGACAGAGCCCAGCCCCACTCCCATGGGGCAGCTCCTGCCAGGGGGAGGAGACGAGGGTGGAAGGCCACGGTGGGAGCCAGGAGCACCGCAGGAGCAGGGCTGGCAGAAGGCCAGCCGGTACAGCTTCCTCGCTCTTCTGGAGCCAGAGTCACACAGGAAGTCAGTGGAAGCTCCTTGACTCCACGCTCCTCTCTCAGAATCAGGTGGTTCCCCTTCTCCACAGCCCAGTCTTTCTCTCATGACTCCAGTTCTGCCCCCACCACCTCCCCCTATGACTACAAGGAGATTCAGGGAGATTAGGTGGGAGAAGGGAGCCCACCACCACAGTCACCTCCTGTGCAGAGAGTCTTGGAGTCCCCAGCACCCTCCTGCGAGTGTTCAGCAAGTCCTGTTCAGATCCCAGGTCTTGGAGCCAAAGACATCTTGCCCCATAGCCAGAATGGCCTAACCCAGGGTTGCCTCTGAAGTAGCTGCCACCTGCAAACTTCCAGCATGGATCTAGGACCTCATGTAATTCACCCACTCCCCAGGGAGAAGCCCCCCTTTCAGGCTCCCTAGCCTTGGGAACCTTGTGTTCTAGGGCCTCATGAAGGGGAGCGTTTTGTCTGGGAAGTAGGACTGACCCTTAGGGTGGGCAGGATTTAATTCTGTGGACAAGGAGGTGGGGTATCCCAGGCCGGGCCAGCCTGCACACAGGCAGGGGTGGCAGAGCATGGGAGGTAGCAAGGGGATTTGCCTGGCCAAGCAATATTGAGAAGGTTGGAGCTGGGAAGGCAGAGCTAGGTCACAGGGGCCGTGGAGGGCTCTGAGTAGGTGAAGGTCTTAGGGGAAGTGGGACCTCAGTCCCTGAGGGTGGGAAGACGAGGAGTGGGGCAGGAAAGTCTAGGACGCAGGACCCCCAGTTGGAAATGTTTAGAATTATCCAGGACTGGAGGGGTGTAGCAGCCAGGATGGAAGAGGGTGAGAGAGGACAAAGACGGGAACCTGATAGGTGGCTGACTGGGAAAAGGCCACCAAAGAAGCCAAAACCTCCCACCCAGGTGGAAAGAAGGGAGGCCACAGCAGTCAGAGCACCCGGAGGGCACTCTGGCTTTGGAAGGAGGATGCAGGGCAGACAGCAGGATGAAGGGCGCATCCCAGCAACCCACCCACTCGACCCAGGGAGCCCCAGCCAGTGAGAGTTAACTCCATTCTACAGATGGAGAAACTGAGGCTAGGAGAACGCACCCACTTGCCCAGGGTAACACAGCTCCAATGACGGAGCAGGCATTCCACACCAGTAAGTCTGACCCCCAGTCCAGTTCTCTCAGCTCTCAGGGCTGAGTCTGGGGACAGCCTTCACTGGCCGTGAGAGGAATAATCAAAGCTGCTGGAAAATCAGGATAGAGCCTTGTCCCCAGGGAGAGCTGAAGAGAGTGGAGAAGGCAGCATCTGCCCCTCCCTCTGCTGGAGTGGTGAGGTGCAGAGTGGGAGAAGGGGGCTCTGCTTGCTGTACTTGCAGATGAGACCACCCCCCCAAGGGCCACCCAGGCTGTTCCTTTGAGGCTTGTCAGAGCCCAAAGGTCACTGTGCTTCTTGGAGCCAAGGCCTGAGCACACAAGTGGGAGGAATTCAAGCCGCTCTTGTTTGGAGTGGCAGTCACGAGGCAGCCGCCCAGCTCCCTCACTGCCTTCGTCTGTCTGTCTGTCTGGTCCAGGCCTACATGAACTTTCACTACAAAAGCACCGAGGGCTGGAGCATTGGCAACGTGCTCCTGGACTTCACTGGGGGCAGCTTCAGCCTCCTCCAGATGTTCCTCCAGTCCTACAACAATGGTGAGTCAGCCAGGGCTGCCTGCCACCCCATGGGCTGGAGCACAGGGTGGGACCGGGCTTCCCGGGACCCCCAGTCGGGGCTACCCCCCAGTCCACAGCCTGGGGATCCCAGCCAATCCCAGGCCCTAAGGAAAGACCCACCTCGGGGAATTTGTGACTGGAGGATTTGTGGTTTTCTGGGCAAATGGGGACCACAGCCCCACATGCCCCTCATGCCCAGCTGCTTCAGAGCTGCTGACCTAAAACCATCCCTGTCCCCTCTGGCTGCTACAGATCAGTGGACGCTGATCTTCGGAGACCCAACCAAGTTCGGACTCGGCATCTTCTCCATCTTCTTCGACATTGTCTTCTTCGTCCAGCACTTCTGTTTGTACAGAAAGAAACCAGGGTATGACCAGCTGAACTAGCACCCAGGGACCCCACGTAGACAGCCCCAGGCCTTGTACCCTGGTGGAAAAGGCCTCAACCAGCAAAAGCCAGAGGCGCAGTCTGGCTCTGGCGCACAGGGCTGGCTCAGTGTGTGGACAGAGAAGAAGCGCTCTGTTCCTCGGTGCCACGGGGCCCAGCGCCTTAAACTCCAGCGGCCTGCTTCCCCCCAGGCCGCTCTGGGCCTCTCCGCCAGGCATCTGGCCCGCCTTCATTTTGATGCCGCCGTCTCTCTTTTCTTTAAGGCTTCAGCCAGCATGCACAGGTTCTGGCCACCATCTGAGGCAGGGTTGGGCGCCAAGCTTGCAGCCGAAGGCCTTGCCCCAAACGACCAGTGTTTCTGGGAGCAGCATGCAGGGCTGACCTTGCAGCCAGGAGAACCAAGGGCACTTTGCTGCCACCGCTGTATTCCCAGAGACCAAGCAGCCAGGTGCTGTGGCCGATGGACTCAGAGGTGCTGGTGCTGGCGGCAGAGGGGCAAGGACTTTGGGGTGAGGCCGTGGCACGGGGTCCTTTCTCTGAAGGCTGCTTTCCTGACACTCATTCAATGTCCTCAGCCGCAGTAGCAGCTGGCCAGGCCATTCCTGAGCCCTGAGTACCCATTGATTGGCTCTGAATGGGGTTCATGTCCCATACCCTCTGGTCTTCGTCACAGTGAGATGATAATATGACCTCCTTTCGGATTTTTTGGAGGGATGTTTCGGAGATGACCTAGTCTCTTCTGCCCTCTCCTACCTCCACCCTCCCAGTCAGATAGGGCCCATCTGAGCAGCCCCAACTGCTCCTTACCCAGCATCTAGAGGGCAGGCAGTTCACACACATACTTGCTCTACCAGTCTGTGCCTTAGAGTCCTGTTTGACCTGCCAAATGGTGAACAGGGCTCCCCTGGAGGGGAGGGCAGGCCCCCTTTGCTCACCTTCCCCACATCCCTGAGATTCACCAGTTTCTTGAGACCACCTCACACAATCCTTATGGGCCCAACTCTGACCTCAAAGCTCCTTCCTTCCCACCCCAAGCTGCTGTGTTCTTCCTGTGTGGGAGGGGAGGGTCCTGGGATGTGCCTTGTACATGCTTTTTTTACTACAAGATCCATATGAGGGGCCTGTATCCTGAATTAAAACTTGTCTCTTTTCTGTACATTCTGAGCATTTGCTCGGTGCAGAAGGCAGGTGTGTTGGCCTTCAGAACCAGGTCCTTGGGGCCAAGGGAAACGGGCCTGCTCGCCTCATGTAAGGAAGCACATAGGGTCATGAAGTTCACTGGCCCCACACTTCACCAAGAGCCCTCTTGGGTAGTTGCCCAGGGCCAGGTAGGTCTCACAGGTACTGCATCTTTGCCGTTACCAGGGAGCGCTGCTCACACTGTGGATGTGAGGAGTTGGGTGTGGTGAGGATTACTGGGAATGGGGGCAGTGGGGGTCTTAGTCTCCAGATTCTTCCTCTCACCAGTTCTAACAGATAGCAGAAACCTTTGGGTGTTATTTCCCAAGAGTAGAGATTATAGCCTGACCAAGCCCACAGACCTGTTTTATTGAGGTCACCCAGTGATTTTTATAAAATGTTACTGGTGTGCCATATTTTAAAAATGAGAGATTTCAAGTTCTTGGCTTTCCCTTAAAGATCTGATCTGGCAATGCTAGGCAGGTCCAGGAGTGCCAACACCTTCCCAGAACTGTAGGCAAGGACAGTGTGCTCTCTAGCTCACCCCCACCTGGCCAGATTTCAAACCCTGGGAACATCTGGGGTTGGGTCTTCAGCTGTGATACACAGAGTGCTCTCAAGACTCTTGGGGCAGGTGTTTTTCCCATGAACCCCTGGGTGTCTGTGAGACCCCTCCTGGGTGGGTGCTGAAACTAGGTTACACAAGGGGAACTTAGGGGCTTCACAGTGACTCGCAAGAGACTACACATGCCCTAGGCTTCTTGCTCCAGTTGCAATGAAGGTGCTCCCAGATGCTCCCACAGATGCAGTCCTTGCTAAGGGCCCACCAGCCCCAGAATCTGCAGACAGGGGAGCCTGGAAATACCTGGGCATTGTCCCAAAAAAGTAGAAGACAGGTTAGCCATCATTAACACCAAAGCTGTCACCCCAGTGTTCCCCCCAATATCCCACCTTAGACTTCAGCAAAGAACCCTTGTGAATTCCAGCATTGTTTATTGGGCACACAACGGCAGTGGGGGGCAGCGTCCCGCTGCCCCATTTTCACAATAACCAAAGTAAGGCTTGTGCACTTGCAAAGAGTAGTTGTTCCCAGATGTGAATTAGTAAGCAAAATTCAAAAGTAGAATTGGCATCTCCAAAGAATAAGATAAAAAACATTCTGTATCAAAGTTGTGATTAAAAAAATACAAAAGTTAAACCCACAGGCATAGAGGAAATGGCAATCCTGAGAACTGCCCTGAATGTCAGCCTCGAGCCTCATCTACATCCTGTAAGCAGACAAACCTGGGGAGGCCAGCACCCCTGGGGAGTGGGGGTTAGTGGGGAGCCTGCCTCCTTCCAACCTGGCACACCTCTGTGGTACCTCCAACAGTGTGTCCAGTCTCCCGCTGGGCAACATAGGGAGGACCACGGGCACAGGCACTGCAGAGTGGACACATGCTGTGCCAAGCCCTGCAGCCAGGGCACAGTGGGAAAGGCCAGCCCCAACTGCCATTTCCCAGCTTTGGCAGCTCCCAAGAAGTGGTGTTTCCCACTCACCCAGGACACTTCTATGGCCAGGCAGCAGGGTCTAGGGGCTGAGCCTGTGGTTGCTGCAGACTGGCTACCACTTGGCTCCAGGCCCTGGCTTCCAATCCTCGGTGTCCGAGGGAAAGAGCTGGTCCCACTGCCTCGGGCCAGGGATGGGAGAGGGAAGGAAAGCTGGGCCAGGCCTCTGGGATCAGATGGGGCCATTCTGAGCTGAGACCCAGCACTCAGCAGAAGCCAGGACGAGGGGCAGACAGTGTGAAAGTGGTGTCATTGTACAAGGAGGCAGCCAGGCACGAGTTGTGGGCTGTGGCAGCTGCTAGGACAACATGGACTGCTGCACAGCCTTCTGCAGAGATTGCCGTGTCACCAGCAGGCGCACCACCTCTTCCGATCGCTTTGTGAGCCGTTTCCGGGCCTGGTCATGTGTGACCATGGTCATGTCCCAGCCGTTCACCTGGCCCAGGAAGAAAACACAGCCCACCTCAGCTCCCTGCCCTCTGGGATCTGGAAGCAGAGGGCTCTGGGGGCCCTGAGTCACCCAAGCAGGCCCCCAAGCTGACATCCCAGGGCTAGGAAACACTGAGCATCACAGCAGAGGCACACAGAGAAAGCCAGCGTCCTCTGGGGGCAATACCAGCATGGGTTCCAGATCGACTTCGGTGAGTCCCTCCCTGCTGGGAGGCAAGGACAGCCCCCCACCCCCAAGTGCTTCAGACCTTCTGGCCCAAGGTCTGAAGGACTTGTTTTCCTCCTTGGGGACACCTGTTACCTGCATGATCTTGTCTCCAATCTGTAGCCCGGCAATTTCAGCAGGGCCTCCTTCAGACACTCGTGTGACGTAAATGCCCTGAAAACAGGCAGCCCAGGTCAAGTCCCATGGTCGCTGGACTGGCCCCTCATCCACAGAGCAGAACCCAGCATGGCACACTCCCAGCTGTCCCTCTGTCCCTGCCCCACAGATGTGCCAGCTCCTCCTGGGCTCGCTCTGAGCAGGACTTCCTAGGACTGGGAGGTCTACTCCGCAGCCTAGCCCTACTTATTCCCACCAGATCATTTCTTGGGCCTTCTTAGACGGTTTGAGAGACATGAGGTCTGCTCCCTCCATTCAGGCCCAGGAAGCACAGATCCACTATCTCAGGCCTCTGTACCCCACGAGGAGGTCCCAGGACCCTAGTTCCCCTCACCTTGTCTGTCTTGTCTTCTGAGAAGGGATTCTGGGAAGGATCCTGGTCAATTCCACCGCCAATGCTGAAGCCCAGAATTAAGTTCTCACCTTGACGCAGCTTGTGAATTTCAACTCTTTGCTGGCAAAGGAAAAAACAAGTTGTGGGGAGAAGGGCAGGTGAAGAGCAAACATGGTCTGTGTCCCCAGCAACAGCCTCAGGCTGCTGGGCCGACTCTGAGCCATGCCAAGTGGGGGGGTCCTCTGTAAGAATCCTGGGATGCTGGGGAGTTGAAGTTGAGAAACTGGCCACGTGGATCTACCAGTATAGCCCTCTGGCCTCAGCCTCCCCACTAACCCTTTAGTCTCAGGCACCTTAATCAACATGTGCACTAAGCTCCTCCTGGCCCAGGAGCCAGGGTGTTAACAGCTTCTATGGATGTAGGCCCATCTCTCAGGGGAGCATCTGCACAGGGCAGAAGGGGTCAGGTTCTGGAAAGATGCAGGCATGTTGAGGCAGCTCAGAGCCAGCCCTGTCAGGGAAAGACGGGATGTGCTCAGGAAGAGCAGAGATCTAACTTGCACAGAAAAGAGAGGAAGCACTTGCTGGCCAAGGGAGCAAAAGCAAAGGCTTGAAGGTGCTGTGGGTACATGTTTGCACGGCACAGGACCCAGGACTGGGAGGGTGATGACGCTGGGCCAGATAAGGAAGGCTGTGGGACGTAGCCCCATGAGACTGGTCCTGGAAAGGGGGGGAAGGGAGATCCCTAAACCCCAGGCCCTGCCCTTGTGCAGTGCAGGAACTAGAGGCATATTCTAGGGCTCTCCCATCATGCTCTGGGGCTATGGATCCCAGCTGTAACAGGCTCCTTTCAAAGTCTCAGCCAGCACCCTGCAGTCTCCAGAAGCTGGGAGCCAGACCAGATCACTCCAAAAGTGCAAAAGGTGACTTGATCTAAACCTGAGGAGATGGCACAAAGGAGGGATCATCTGCACCAGCCTTGAAGGGGTAACAAGTAGTCTGGCCACCTGACCTTGATCCTGAACCCCCCTGGAACTCTCAGGAATTAGGGAGTAGGGCAGGACATAGTCAAGTAGTCAGAGAAATGGATGTCTCACAAAGGGGGATCAGAGGCCAGGGGACATAAGCTACTTGGAAATTGAGGTCAACAGATTTGGCAACTATTCACGGAGGAGGCAAGCAAGAGGAGCGCCCGGCTACCCAGCCTGGCTGAGCACAACCATCACTCAGATGGGAACCCAAGAGGAGAAGCAGGTTGAGCTGGAGTGCCAGGGGCCATCGGGCTGGTGTCCAGAAGGCAGATGGATCTATGGTGCCAGAGTTCAGGAGAGGCTAAAACGATTTTAACATTCTCAAAATGTGGACTACGTGGAAAAGGGTAGGAACTGGGGAGGAAGCTTCCCCCATCCCATCCCCAATCCAAGACAAGAGGGAAAAGCCAGACCCCACCCACCATGTTCAGGCACATTCCTGGTGTTAGCAGAACTGGGGGTCCATGGTCCTACAGCTGTGAGGAAGGCCCTGGGCCCAGCCATGGCCTGAGGGAGGGGGAGCAGTCAGCATGATCTCTGAAGCCCACTGGACCCAAGTCCTCATGCCCAGAAGTGTGAGCTCCTCCAGCACACACCTCTGCACCCACACAAGGTCAGAAGAGAACAGGCCCATGGGCTGGGCAACAGCGCCCTGTCACTGACTTGCAGAGTGAGGTCAGGCAGCAAGGTGGCCCTCTCTGGCTCCTTGCCCACACCCTCTCTTTTCTAGCTAAAGAGCAAACCTGGCCCTTCTCTCTGGGGCAACTAGGGATCTAGAAAAGCCAGGCGGGTGCAAGCAGGGTGAAGCTTAGAACAGCTGTCAACAGGTCCAGCAATGTTTCCTCCTAGCCTGAGCCTTAGCTGGTGCCCTAAGCTCACCCTCACATGCTACTGTTATCAGTGGCTTCCCTGCCTCCACCCATCTGACTGATGGAGCTCTCCAGCACACCCATCTGAGACACCACAGCCAGTCCCGATGGCTCCAGGGCTGAGACTTTCACTTGTCCCATTGCCTGCTAGGCAGGCATTTCTTTCCATTTTCTGAAACCTCTGGGATGCCAGGCATGACCAGACAGACTTTCTGAAACTCAGCTTCCCCACCTCTGCCACGGGCTTGGCCTCCAGGCTTCATTCGACTGTGACACTGGCACCTAGGTCTGATACCCCAGTCTCCCTCCTTTGGCCTATTCTAACAGCACCCGGCACCCAAAACAAGCCAAGAGGGCGACCCGGGGTCTAGGCTGGCCCCAGAAGTTCTCCTCTGGCCTCAAGCGTCAGGCTGGGCTTCTGGACTTTATCCCAAGGGCTGAGGATCCGGGGAAAGTTGGAGAGGTAACCCGCCAATTGTATGAGCATTCACTCTGGACGGGCGGCAAGTGAGTCCGAGGAGCAAGGCTGGCCGGGAAAGGGGAAGGGGCTGCTAGGGCAGATTCCGGCCAGCCCCACCCCCCAGGTCTCCTTCCTTTGGGCGGCGGCGGGGCGCCGGCGGCGGCGTCCGGAGCGGAGGAAGCACTTCCTCATTCCAGAGGCTGCTACTCATGGCCGTCGGGGCCGGCGCCCGCCCCCTGCAGCTGCCCAGCTGGGGACACGGAGGCCCGGGAAGGGGGCGCGTTCCCAGAGTCCCACAGCTGGGGCCTTCTTCCTCCGTCCTCCTCGCCCTGGTCAACTGAAAAGAGTACACCCGTCGGCAGCAGAGCGCGCGGTCTGGCCTCCGTCCAGGGTCTCCGAGAGCTCTTGGGACCCTGCAATCTCCGTTTCGTAGCTGGGGGGAGATCGGGGCCCTGCCACGATAGAGCGGGCCCGGGAGCCCCGTCCACTGGTGTGCAGGAGCCCTGGGCTCGACGCTTCGTCAACCTGTTTAGGGTGACAGTTTGCCGCTCTGCGAAGTGGGAGCAAGCCAAGACGAGAAGAAGCCCGCGCGAGCGCACTCACCACCACGGCGGTGACCGGCTGGCCCGGGATGTAGGACATCTCGACCCCAATCTCGTAACCAACTACCGCTCGGTGAAGCCTGCAGCGAGATTCCCCGCGGCCTCGCCCTCTCTGGTTAACAAAGGCTGCCCGGCTAGGCCAGCCCCCTTATGAATAGTTAACAAACCTCCAGCCAATCGCCGGCCGGAGCGCTGCTCTGCTTTCAGAAGTCCCGGCGCGTGCGTAGAAAAGCGGGGGAGAAGGTGGAGCGTGCCTCGGGCGCCCACGGCGCAGGCGCGGGTGGGCGGGACGGGATCCGGGGGCGTGCGCAGTCTGAGCCCTCCCAGCAGCCCTCAGCGCAAGATGGCGCCGCGGGCATCTCTGCCCCTTCCTCTCTGAGGGAGTGCTAAGTGTGTCCGCCGCCGTGTTCCAGGTAACTGGGCAAGCCGGGCCAGGGAATGCAGACGTGTCGTCGCCCCTCGGCCGGCTCGAGCCCTCGGTCTTCTCTGCGTCATTTGAAGGGCTGAGACCCAGGAGGGGTTCCAGGTCTCGGAAGCTCCAGGGGGAGGGGGCGGCGTGCATCCAACTCGCCAAGCTCCGAGCGCCACTTGTAACTTGGTTTTCTCCGCAGCTCCGCGTTACTCCGCGACAAAGCTAGAGGCCGAGCCCCGGCGGGTGCGATGGCCGCGGTGGTGGCCAAGCGGGAAGGGCCGCCGTTCATCAGTGAGGCAGCCGTGCGGGGCAACGCCGCCGTCCTGGATTACTGCCGGACCTCAGTGTCAGCGCTGTCGGGGGCCACGGCCGGCATCCTCGGCCTCACCGGCCTCTACGGTTTCATCTTCTACCTGCTTGCCTCCATCCTGCTTTCCCTGCTCCTGATTCTCAAGGCGGGAAGGAGGTGGAACAAATATTTCAAATCACGAAGACCTCTCTTTACAGGAGGCCTCATCGGAGGCCTCTTCACCTACGTCCTGTTCTGGACATTCCTCTATGGCATGGTGCACGTCTACTGAAATGGGGGCAGGGGTGACTTTTTTAAAAAACCGGATCGGGAGGACTGTTGCCAGAAATTAACACCGTGTAGACTTACTGAGTTTTTAAATTGTCGAATTCGCTGCTTGTTCTGTAACGTTATAAATAATTTATATCTGAAGACGGAGAACCTGTAATATCCTTCAGATTAAATGAAGCGTGAGACACTTTGTGGAGTTCTTTCCTACCTTAAACGCATAATCTGCCATTGGTGCAAAATCGCCAAGATTTGACCCCTGGAGAACAGGAACTGGGCCACAGCCTTCTGTTACTTCCTTGCCTTTACACGTAGACCATCCAGAAGGGGCCACAGGGTCCTAGATAAGGAGAGAATTTATTATTAACATTCTAAGAACTAATAGCAGTTAATATTAAGAGTTCTCTGTATGCCAGCCATCGTGCCTTGTACTTTTTACATCCATTGTCTCATTTAATTCTAGCAATAACCTTATGGAGTAGATGCTATTATTAACTCCCTGTTGACGAGGAACCTGAGACTCAGAGGAGGCACATCTGGGAAGAGACAGCCAGAATTCAAATACAGGTCTCTTAATTTGTTTTATTTATTGATTTATTTTTGAGTTGGAGTCTCTGTTATCTGAATTAGAGTGTAGTGGCACACTGATGGCTACCACAGCCTTGACCTGCTGGGCTCAGATGATCCTTCCGCCTCAGCCTTCCAAATAGCTGGAACTACAGGCACTCACAACCATGCCTGGCTAATTTTTTATTTATTGTAGAGATGAGGTCTCGCCAAGTTGCCCAGGCTTTTCTCGAACCCATGGGCTCAGGCAGTCCTCTCACCTCAGCCTCCCAAAGTGCTGGGATTACAGGCCTGAGCGACTGCACCCAGCCTGTTGATTTGCTTTTGCTGTATTGGCTGAGTGTACCTTTTCACAGCCCAGCATTCCCTCTTGCTCACCACTACTTCCAGGCATGAAGGGTATCATTTCCATTTCATTACATCTAGTCACAGTTAGCAGTCTTTTCCATAAGAGAGTAAAATCAAGATTTTTGTAGGATATGTCTAGTGAAGATTAAACATGTTTTTTGGCATTTAAGCTACACTTTTTGTTTGTCTCGGGTATAATCACCTCTGTCTACATGCTAATCCATGATTCTTGTCAAGATTATTTTAGAATAAAACACATGTTTGAAAAGTATTGCATTAGAATTATTGTTATGAATATGTTGCTCATGGAATTTATAGTCTGAGAAGACCAGCATTACTTAATTTCACAAATATTTAAATTACGGGTCCAGGTGCAGTGGCTCGTGCCTATAATCCCAGCACTTAGGGAGACTGAGACAGTAGGATTACTTGACCCCAGGAGTTCAAGACCAGCCTAGGCAACATAATGAGACCTCATCTCTACAAAAAAAAAAAAAAGATAAGCTGGACACGGTAGTGCACACCTGTAGTCCTAGCTACTTGGGAGACTGAGGCAGAAGGATCGTATGAGCCCAGGAGGTCGAGGCTGCAGTGAGCTGTGATGGTGCCACTGCACTGCAACCTGAATGACAGCATGAGACCTCAATTCTAAATATGTTAAGTGCTATGAAGAGAGTACAAAGGAAACCCCAAACCTAACCCAGGTTGGGGGTTAAGCAAGCTTCTTTGAGGAAATAACATTACATCTGAGACCCAAGGTTTGAATAACATAGTCAAGTAAAGTACAGGAAAGCATATGTGTGAAGGCCATGGGCAGGAAGGAGTGTGACCAGCATCTGGAAAGTGAGAGAAGAGGCCATAGTGGGGAGCTTGGCCTTAATTCTAAGAACAACTGAAGTCTTTGGAAGATTTTAGTCCAAAGTGATATGATCAGATTTGGATTTTTTTGAAAGAATCAATTTTAGATTGGCAGAGGGCCTAAGAGCTTGAATCCAGGTCCTCTTTTTTATGGATCATAGGTAGCCCATGGCCAATAATGGAAATGGATCTGGGACCCAGAACTTCTGAATTCCATTTTGAGTTCAGAACCACATGCTTACACATGAAGCCAAGAAGTGGAGGCCACAGCTTTGCCTCTCTCTCCCAGTGACCTCCCAAGGAGACCTTTTTCTGCCCACCCCTGAAGATCCTCTCATTCATGGTTTGCACACCTCAGTCCTCTCTCGGGCCCTTCTGTGAGAGGGAAGGGTTCACTCTTGATGCAGAGTAAGGAAGAAGCAGAGGGGGTTCTACTGGTACAAGAGGAGGGAAAGAAAGGGGGATAAATGAGCTGATTTACTTAACCATTTCACTATTTGGGAAGTGTGTGTGTTTGAAATGTTCGAGTTTGAATGCAATGAGTGTCTTCACCTTTTTGTCATTTTGAGGGGATTTAATAAGCTCCTAGGGCAAAATATAAAAACTAGTCTTTTAATGTTTGCTCATTTAAAGAGTGTACCTACTTTATTTATTTAGATTTGGAGTCTCACTCTGTTATGCAGGCTAGAGTGCAGTGACACACTCACGGCCACCCCAGCGTCAACCTGCTAGGCGCTGGCGATCCTTCCACCTCAGCCTTCCAAATAGCGGGAACTACAGGTGCGCACTACCACGCCCAGCTGATTTTTTATTTATTGTTTACTGATTTTTTATTTAGAGAGACGAGATCTCACTAAGTTGCCCGGGCTGGTCTTGAACCCAAAGGCTCAGGCAAGTTTCCATACTTTTACTTGAATTTCTTTGCAAAACGAGGAACATAATATATTGCTTACCAATCAGTTCTTGTGTCTGTCTTATATTTTTTTCTCTAAAACACAGAAATTTTCATGAAGACATGAAAAAGAAATCAGGCCACGTTTGAAATTGATGGCATTTATTGTTTTATAACCAAATAAAAATCAGAGAATACATATATTGGTCAGGTCCCAGAAAGTGTCTGCCATCTCCCTCCCCCCTCCCTTAATTCTGTGTACTGACCTAAGGGGAAAAAGCTGGCAGAAAAGTACTGTCTTTTAGCAAGAAAACGTTTTTGGATCCACTGGAGAGTATGCTCTGAGGAAAGTCATGTCACTTGTGGAGGTGGGAGGTTGGGACCAAGTGGAGCCCTTTTCTAGACATGCAAGTGGGACAATTTAGGAACTCTACTGTAGTCCTTAGCTGAGTGAGTGCTCAAGAACCCTTAGAAGTCACATTTTCCCTTTACTACTGGTTCCCTAGTGGGGCAGCCACTGAAAAAGGAAGAATTGATGGAGGTGTGGTGGGGGAGGAGACGGGGACACAGCCATGATTGGTCAGTCCTGATGACCCAGCATCAGAAGTGGAGGGCATTTCACTCTTTCATGGCTCATCCCCATGATGTCACATTGATAGCACCCGAAGTACAAAGTTCTCATTGGCCAGCATTCTGGTACTCCCAAAAGCACAGGCTAACTCAATACTAGCAGCCAGGTTTAGGCTAGGGCCTGAACACAAGCACAGGCCATGTATCTGAATAGAGAGGAGTTCCTGAGAGGATGGCACTCTCATCTCCATGAGGCAACCAGTGCCCAGAGACAAAAGGGTTTGCCCATGTTGGAAGAGTGCTCAAGCTCTGCTTCACTCCCCTCACTGAAACGCCAGTTTCCATAAGTGATGAACCTCCAGCTCTTGCACCAGGGTTATGCAGAAGAAAGGTGGGGAGCAGAGGGCTGTATGCAGAGCAAGGAACCTTTGGCAGAGTGTGCAACGCCGTCCAGAAACTGCAACGGGACCACTGATAATTCTGAGCACAGGGCCCTGAGTGCAGGAGGAAGACCCCCTGGAAGGCTTTACTGGTCTTGAAGAAAAATTGAATGACTCCTCCAAGAAAGTAAAGTTTAGGCCAGGTATGGTGGCTCACACCTATAATCCCAGCACTTTGGGAGGCCGAGGTGAGAGGATTGCCTGAGCCCACTGGTTTGAAACCAGCCTGGGCAACTTGGTGAGACCTCATCTCTACCATAAATCAAAAAATTAGCTGGGCATGGTGGCACATGCCTGTGGTCCCAGCTACTTGGAAGGCTAGGGTGGAAGGATCACCTGAGCCCAGCAGGTTGAGGCTGCAGTGACTGTGAGCATGCCACTGCACTCCAGCCTGGCCAACAGAGTGAGACTCCAACTCAAAAATAAATAAATAAATAAAGCTTACTGGGGCAATACTTAGAATTAAAGACAACTTGATTAAAAGTGCCAGGCATGGTGGCTCACACTTGTAATCCCAGCACTTTGGGAGGCAGAGGCAAGAGGATTGCCTGAATCCGAGGGTTAGAGACCAGCCTGGGCAACTTGGCAAGACCTTGTCTCTACAATAAATCAAAAAATTAGCCTAGTGTGGTGGCACACGCCTGTAGTTTCAGCTACTTGGGAGGCTTAGGCAGAAGGATTGTCTGAGCCCAGCAGGTTGAGGCTGCAGTGGCCATGACCATGCCACTGCACTCCAGCCTAGGTGAACAGAGTAAGACTCCAACTCAAAACAATAAAAAAGAAAGCCTCACAAAACCTGCTCCAATCGGCTATATCTATCTGGTGTCTTGGTTGCTCCTTCCCATGTCAAAGCATTTCTACACATGGGATAGATACCCTTACCTGCAATGCTTTCCCCATCACCTAGTTAGGCTGCTATTCCCTTTCAGATTTCCACTCGATGTCACTTCCTTGAGGAAACCTCTGGCTACTCCTGGTTGGACCCTCAAGCACCCTCTTCAGGCTGTGATGACAGGCATGCTCCTTGGTTAAGGTCAACTCCAGCTGAACTGGAAGCACTTGAGGGTAGGGGCCACCTATATTGCTCACTTTTGTATTACCAGTGTTTAGTCTGACATCTGACACATCATAGGTACTCAAGAAATATTTACTGGCCAAATGAATCAATAACTGCAGGAAGACTTCTTCATTCCAATATAAAACAAACAGTACGACTGTTCCCCGGTTCTCTGGCTGCTGCCAAGTCATTTCAAAATCTGGTTGAAAGAAACCAGACCAAGTCCTAAGCAGCCATGACCTCTGCCTTTTTTGCCTGCTCCCAGTCATAAAGATGACACACTAGATTATAAAGTCCAAGGGTCTGTGCTAGTGAGGAAGGGAAACACTTAAGTGGATCGTCCAGATTTTCACTTTCTATTCAGAGAGTAAGTTGGACTTGGTGACAGGTTCCCAGACAACCCAGAGTGAGGAAGCTGCTGGGGACAACCCAGAGTGAGGAAGCTGCTGGGTTTTTGTGCTGGGGACCCTGTCCCAGAGGCAGCCTCACAAGGGACCCTCTTCAAAGGCCCCAGTGGATGGATACTCACCGCCCCCTTCTGTGTGCAGAGGGAACACTTTGGGCTGCCTGAGCCAGGGCAGTGCTGGAGGGCTTTTCTGCCACAAACAATGGTGAGTGGCGAGCTCTGGGTTTCTCACCTTGCATTACACAGGGACGACTCAGATGCAGTGGGATAGGGTGAAGAGAGCTAGGCCAGCTCCCTAAGCCCAATAGTTAAGTGCATTTCATGCCTGTTTCCAACAGAGAAGGTCCATTTTCTTAGTGGGTGTGTAATCAAGTGGATTCTCAGCCCCTTGAAATTTTGACACCGGCTGCTACAGGAGAACAGGGGCGGGAGGGTTGCTTTTCATTGTCTATTCTTTTGCACCTTCTAAATGTTGAATCAATATCATCTAGTCAAAAACATTTTAATTTGAATAAACTGATAATACTTTGAATAAATTGAATACTACTACTTTCGGGGTGGGAGAGGGATCCTCTTGGTCTCAAGGTGGCATATGAGTGAGTCTGACCTAGAAATTGGCTGACCATCCACCAGAGCTGGCCTTCTTTTCCCTCAGAACCAGGGCTTCTCAAACACTACTGTGCATGCAAACCACCTCCGGATCTTGCCGACATGCAGGTTCTGATTTAGAAGGGCAAGAAAAGGGCCTGAGACTCCAATTTTTTTTTTTCTTTTTTCTTTGAGTCAGGGTCTCGCTTTGTTGCTCAGGCTGAAGTGCAGTGACACAATGATGGCGCACCGCAGCCTCTACCTCCTGGGCTCAGGGCAATTCTTCTGTTTCAGCCTTCCAAGCAGCTGGTACTACAAGTATGTGCCACCACACCCAGCTAATTTTATTATTTTTGAAGAGATAAGGTCTCACTATGGTACCCAGGCTGGTCTAGAACTCCTGGGCTCGAGTAATCCTCTCACCTCAGCCTCCCAAAGTGCTGAGATTACAGGTGTGAGCCACCGTTCCCGGAGAGACTCTGCATTTCTAACAGACTCCCAGATGATAGGGTGTTTCTGGTCCCTGGATCCTACTTTAAATAGCAAGGCTCTACAGCCTCAGAGGGAGGGTGCCACTGAGAGTTCTGCAGAGTGGGGTGGACCTGGTGTGGAAAGCTGGAGGGGGTGATGGGGGGATTTGAGAGCCCCCCTAATAAATGTCCACACCTACTCAGTGAGCACAATGCTTCATCTCTTAGCACTTCAGACCAGGCCCCTGAGAAGAGAGCAAGGGAAGCCAGTAAGGACATCTACCCGCAGAGCAGCAAGAGCCAAACCACACAGACAAATGCATCTCCCATCTGGGCAAGACAATACTCCCTGAGCTTCCCAAGGCTGGGGGTAGTCAGATGGAGCAGAGGCCTCCTTGCCTCCGCTTCCCCATCTTACCTAGAATCCCTTGGAGTTGGCCTCTTCCCTTAAGGGCCAACTGCCTCCTGACTGGTCCAGTCCTTTCCTGGTTGCCTCCTTGGCCACCTTTAAATTTTATCCCTGGGGGCAAGGCCAAATATCCCCTTGGATGCTGTCCAAGAGCTTTCTCTAGTGGATTTGTGAAATTCCACTAGAGGCTAGAGGAAGGCGGAGTGGCTGGGTCTGGCTGTGATGTCTCTGTTGACTGTGGACAAGTTAAACATGTGCCCCTCTCCCTGAGGGCAGGTGAGTGTTGAAGCGTCTCTGGTAGGGCCCAGCACGCAGCATGCACATGTCATGAATGAATGAATGATGTCCAACCAGGTTCTCAGAGAAAATCAAAACACTCTGGTTCCACTCAGACCCCTGGCCTGCCCCCCTCCCCTTCCCTGGGTGCCTCCTCCAGGGCTTCATCATCTGAGCCACTCGGACTATTAGGGGGCTGCCCTCCTCACACAGAGAACAGTTAGTAGCAAGATCCCAAAGCGCAGGAGAGACAGCAATGCCCGGAAGCCTGTGCCTCACGCCGACACACAGACCCCTCTTCCCAGTCCAGAGCTAGGGCGGTTCTGGCCCCCACGGCTTCACTGAATCTGCTCCCAGCCACAGCCCTGGCTACGTCTTCACCATCTTCAGGGTGTGCAGCTGCTCCACATCCACCTCGGCATTCTGCAGGGAGTCAGGCCTGTGTGTGGGTGGGAGGGGAAAACGGAGGGTAAGAGGGCTGCAGGGAGCCTACAGGGGATGGGGGAGCCAGCCTCCCTAGAGGCAGCAGCCTCCACTGGCAACACAGCAGGCAGGCAGAGCACTTGGAGAGGGGTAGCCTGTCAGGTCCCAGCTACAGCCCCAACACATGGAGACACGCCGTGGAGGCCTCTGGAGTTGTAGCAGCAACTGTGGAGGCATCCGGAGCCGCGTGCAGAGCCTCCCGCAGCAACAGTTGAGACTAAGCCAGGCCACGCCAGGCAGCCGTTTTCCCAGCTTGCAGGGTATGGAGTTCAGGTGAGTGCCCAGCAAGTGACAGCTTGGGGAGCCCTGGGGGGCTTCTGGGCTCTGGGCCTACCCCTCTGGACCCCAGCCCCCGTGGCCTCCTTGCCCCACTGTTGCAGCCCCCAGCCTTGCTGCCTTTCTCTCCTCACTCCTTCCCCACCCAGGCCTAGCTCCCAACGGGAGGCCGTGTCACCAAGGAATGAGAGCTGGAGCTGGAGGAAGGGCCATCCCGGGCCAGTGCATACCCCAGGATCCCAGCCTCACTGAGCATTGTGTCCAGCTCCTGCTGGGAGGAACACAAGAAGGCAAAGCCCAGAAAGGGCCAGGCCCCTGCTCCAAGGCACTCTGCAAGGTAGGAGTGGAGCCAGCCTGGGTGCAGGCCTCCTGACTCCGCCAGGGCCCCCTCCCCACCCAGGCTGAGGTCACGTCTGCAGAAAAGGCCAGGCTGCCCTGGGCTTCTGGGCAGCCCCTGGGGCAGGGCAGCCTTAGGGCCACCTGGTGGCACAGCCACCACCCTCCCGAGATGGGGCAGCTCCAGCGTGTCCACAGAGAAGAGGGGTTTAAGGGAGTAATAGGATGGGAGCTAGGGGGTGAGGTGCCAGAGAGTGCAGAATAACTCCATGGAGAAGAAAGGCGTGCTAGAGATACACTGCCTGGATTCAAATCCCAGCTCTGCAGTTTATGAGCTGTGTGACTTGAACAAGTCACTTAGCCTTCTTGTGCCTCAGGTACCTCATTAGTAAAATAGGAAATATCAGTGTCCGCCTCGTTGTTTAAATGAGTTAATATACACAAAGAGCCTAGAGGCATGCCAGGCGGAGAGTAAGTGCTATGTAAACAAGAAAACTTAACACCAGAACACCAAAGAGGCACAGATACAGCTGTCCGGGGCCTTGGGAGCTAATGGGAATCATGTGGAAGCTGAAGTACCAGCCTTCCCTCCCCCAGGGCTTGGACAATCTTTCCCAAGTACTGGACGTCCTGTCTCGGGTCAGGTTACCAGAGAACAGAGGGGCCCGCCGGGGCCACAAGGCATGAGGTGCCTGAGTGAGGCCCCTCTCCGCAGGATGCCCACTCTGCAGGACCCCCTGTCTGCAGGATGCTCTCTCTGCAGGATCTAGTTCTCAGGCTCTCTGCCCAGCAGCCCCTCACCTGCTGGGCTCAAGGAGCTGTGGGTACACATGGCCATTCCCCTTCTGGCCGCCGCTTCCATGCTGTTCCTTAGGCTGCTCCTGCGTGTCCGGCAACCCCAGCAGCCCCGGCCCGGATGTGAGCTGCTCCGATAGCCCCAGCCCCTCTGCCTCGTCCTCAGCCTCCTGGGAACTGTCCTCCAGGCCCCTGGTCAGGATAGAATCTGTTAACCTGATAGCCCTGCAGGGCACCTCCCTGGGAGACTGGTGAGATGGGCCTTAAAGATCGCTGGCCCAGCAGGCCACCACCCTGGCTCCTCCAGCAGCTCAGTCTGGGCCGAGGCTGCAGTTGGGGCTCAGTCTGCAGCAGCCAGGGTCAGGATTCAGGGTGCAGCCTATAACCCAGAGCTGGGGTACAGGCTGTGGCTGGAGTTCAATCAAGGTAAATGACACAGCTAGACCCCCACACCCATCACCCCGAGCCGTGGTAGGGCTGAGGGAGTGCTGAAGTGCCCGTCCCAGTTCCCCACTCTGATCCCTGCTCCTCCAGAAAGACTTCCTCAAGGGCCAGGGCCCCTTTCCCCTTCCAGCCCACCCACCCATAGACATCAGGATTTCCTGCACACACACACACATGCACACACATACACACACAGCCAAGCCCCAGGTCCAAGAAACCCCGGAAAGAGGCCGCTATAGTAGAAAAAAGCAAAAATCCCATTTTTTTCCTTCCTTTATCACTCCAGCTTCCCTCAACCCCAGCCCACTAGGACCACCATGTCTACGAATCCTGAAACAGAAGTGCTAGAAGGTGCTCACACCTGTAATCCTAGCACTTTGGGAGGATGAGACAAGAGGACTGCCTGAGCCCAGGAGTTCGAGACCAGCCTAGGCAACATAGAGAGACCTCATCTCTACAAAGTCAGCCAGATGTGGTGGCAGATGTATACTCAGGAAGCTGGGGTGGAAGGATCGCCTGAGTGCAGGAAGTTGAAGCTGCAGTGAGCTGTGATCATGCACTCTAGCCTGGGTGACATAGTGAAACTCCAATGCAAAACAAAAAACAAAAAAAAATGCTAGAAGATACCATATGTAAACCAGCTCTTTCATCTCCCAGATAGAGAAACCAAAGCTCAAGGAGGCCTGGGACTTGTCCAAAGTCACGTGATGGGACAGAGGCAGAGCCTGTAGACCAGGTCTCCTGCCCTGTGGCCTGTGGTGGCCTCTTTTTCGACCACTGCTCTGAGGCTGAATCCAGTTCTGTAGCACTTACAACATTCCACCTCCCAGGCCCTTCAGCCCCCGCCACCACACTCCAAATACCAATGTCAATGAGGGTAAAGGTTCAAGCCCCCACAGGGCTCCCTCTGGGCAGTTAAGAAGGAAGCATAACTGACCTCACTTCCTCGTACTTCTTGTCACGGTAAAACTCGCTCTTTTTGATGAGGTAGATGAGTACCAGATCGCAGAAGAAAGCCCCCTGAAAAAGAGTTGGGGACCTCATAGACTTCTGAGAGCACTGGCACTTCACACCTTTTGATCCTGCAACAACCTGTTAAGAGGCATCATTGTCCCCACTTAATAGATGAGGGAACTGGGCTCAGAAAGAAGTACGCTTAGCAAGGCATGGTGGCTCAGGCCTGTAATCCCAGCACTTTGGGAGGTAGAGGTGGGAGAACTGCCTGAGCCCAGGGGTTTGAGAACAGCTGGGCCAACGTGGCAAGACTTTGTCTCTACAATAAATCAAAAAATTAGCTGGGTATGGTGGCGTGCACCTGTAGTCCTAGCTATTTGGAAGCCTGAGGCAGAAGGATCCCCTGAGCTCAGCAGATCGAGGCTACGGTGGCTGTGAGTGTGCCACTGCACTCCAGCCTAGGTGACTGAGTGAGATTCCAACTAAAAAAAAAGATAAGAAAAGAAAGGGGCACCCTTGTCTAAGGTCACAAAGCTGGTCATGGTAGAGCCAAAGTTAGGCTGGAGCACCCACCTGATCCCACAGGCCAAGCACCCATCCCACCCATGCAGTACTACAGGCCAAAGCAGTAACTCTATCATGGATGCTAATTCACTATGCTGACCCTGATTAACCCTAGTTCTGGGAATGCCTCTAAGATTCCATTTTACCTACTGTTCCTCCTATAAGAGCATGTACTTACTATAAATCCTACCCTTAGGTCAAACCAACCTAAACTATAAATCCTGCCCTTAGGCACACTCACATAGCATTCCTACCTTTCTCTACAAGTGTCCTCCACATTCCTTCCCTACAGTATATAGGCCCGGGTTGGGGGGGGCGGTGATGGTGCAGGGATCTCGGCCACCAGAACAGCATGGCTTCTGTCCGGAAGTCCCTACTAAATGCTTGTTTCTGAGAAACTGAATCTGTCAGCCTCTTGGCTTCCTCAGACTTTGGGGGTTGGAGTGCATAGGCCTGCCCACTGCAGAACGCCAGACGCTGTCCATTCATTCCTCCAACACATGCCTGCTGGGCACCCACTACATGCCAGGGACTGCCTTGGGGTGCAGGGAGGACAGGGACAACAGGGACCTTCTGGGGACTCTCCCTCTGGTGAGGAGACAGGCATGTAAGTCATGAAAAGGACAGGACTTGACTCAGCCTGGAGAGAGTCACCAGGCTGAGTCTTAATGACTGACAGAAAAAGCCTGGGAAAGACATTTCAGAGGAAGGACGGCTTGTCATGCCTGGGAAATGCCACGGGCCTGTGAAGAAAGAGCCAGAAACACTCTGTGAATGGGCACTGCTTAGAATGTTTCCAAGGCATTCGGCGGGGGGGGGGGGGGGGGGGGGGGGGGCACTAGGCCAGAATCGGTACATTTTAGAAAGATCCTTCTGGTAATCAGTGACGGACTGGGGGCGGAGGTTCTGAACCTAACCCACAAGGATGCTATGGCAGCGGTCAGGAAAGATGACAAGCCCTAAGCTACCTGAGCTACCCCTGCTCAGACCACCTCACACCTGAGCACAGGCACTTCAGACCAGTGCAGGTTGTGCAAAGGCCCATCTCCTCCACTAGAGGGCAACCCCTCCCTCCGCACAGGGTCTGCGGTGGGGGCCTTGAATGAGGAGGAGGGTGGAGGCGGGGAGGGGTTGACGGATGGGCCAACGGGAACCTGGTCGTCCCACCTGGGCGCTGCACACCTTATCCCCTAGATGCCAAGAATGTTATTTATAATTTCTTCGTTCCACAGCGAACACCCTCCGCCCAGCCTCCGCAACCACCTCCTCCTGAACCATTTCCTTCACTTCCCAGATGCCCTGTGTTCCAACTCTACTCACATCACAAGAAAGGGATGATTGGAGGCAGGCCCCTCTCCGAGAAAGTGACACAAACATCCAGGGGTCCCTAGCAGTGAGTCTGCAGTTAAGAATCCATCTGCAGCCGGGCTTGGTGACTCAGCCTGTAATCCCGCGCCTTTGGGAGGCTGAGGTGAGTGGATTGCCTGAGCCTGCGGGTTCGAGACCCGCCTGGGCAGCGAGACCTCATCTCAACAATAAAATCACAAAATCAGCTGGGCGTAGTAGCGCATGCCTGTAATTCCGGCTACTTAGAAGGCTGAGGCGGAAGGATCGCCGGAGCCCAGCAGGTCGAGGCTGCGGTGGCCGGGAGCCCCGGCCACTGCACTCCAGTCTGGGTGACAGAGTGAGACTCCAACTCAAAAAAAAAAAAAAAAAGAATCCATCTGCGTCTCACCTCTCAGGGACATGGACTTTTGAGTCCTGCTAAAGGACACCGTTTTCCTGGCTTCCACAAAAGTCAGCACTAGGTCCTGAAGGAATCCTTCAATGGGGCTGTTTTGGATGTATAGGAAGAGGAATGGGGGAAGAGTCTGCCAGAAACCATGGAAAAGGACTTGCTGGAATGGACACAAGTCACCCGATGACAACCCTGTGTCTTTAAGAAATTTCCAGAGGCCAGCACCAAAGGAGGCCAAGGCAGGAGGACTGCTTAAGCCCAAGAGTTCAAGACCAGCCTGGACAATGTAATGAGACCTTGTCTCTACAAAAAAAAATAATAATAATAATAGGCAGGTGTGGTGGCATGTGCCTGTAAGTCCCAGCTACTCAGAAGACTCGGAAGAATCTCCTGAGCCCAGAGGTTTGAAGTTGCAGTGAGCTGTGATTGTGTACTCCAGCCTGGGCGACAGAGTGAGACTCTGACCAAAAAGAAGAAAGAAAAAGGAAAGAAACATCCAGAAGTACAAAGGGACACGAAGAAAACCCTTCCCTGCCTCAGCCACCACCTCCTCTCCTGTGAGTGCCTCCAGCCCGGCAGAAGGGCCACCTCTCAGAAAGGATTACAGGGCTGCCTTCCCTGCCTCTGATCCTTTTAGCCCAGTGGGTCTCAGCCAGGGTGATTTTTCTCCCCAGGAGACATTTTGGGTCATCGCAGCTGCAGGGAAGGTGCCTCTGGAATCTGGGGGGTAGAAGCCAGGAATGCTCTTAAACATCCCACTACACCCTGGGGAGCCCTCTGTGCATGGCAGGATGTGCTCTTAAACACATCAAAGAATTATCTGGCCCACAATGTCGATGGTACCAAGGTTAAGAAACCCTGTCTATAACCTAATCCTGCCCTTTTTTAGCAGAAGTGGAGTTGAAGACTTTGGAAGTGCAGGAGCTGACCTGGGATCCCAGGGAAATCCCAGGCCACGCCTCAGCTAGGAAGGGACCCAAAACCCACCCGCAGCTCCAGAACTCCAGGCAGATGCATCTGAGGGCTCCGAAAAGAGAAACTTGGACTGCTGCTGCCACCTGGGGGCAACTGGCAGGGCGTGAAATCCCAGAAAGCCCTCTTCATCCACATGCACTCTCATCTCACCAGCTCCTGATCTTTCTGGAACAGTGGGAGGACACAGTCCCCCTGGGCAGTTACCTCCCTCTCCCTGCCGGGGTAGCTGCCAGGTCAGAGGGTGGGAAGTGAGGTGGAAGGGGTGGGTACTCACAGCACCCATGAGTGCCAAGCCGGAGCCCACGTTGATGATGGTAGGAATGATGCTGAACTTCCCTGCCTGGAAGGTAGAGACAAGGTGAGTAAGGAGGCAGGTGGACAGCAGGGGGTCCGGGGCCTCTCCCCACGCCCCCACCCCACCCTGCCCAGCCTCAGATAGTAGAACCACCCCACACACCTTGCCGTTCACCATCACATCAAAGCGGATCCCATAGGCTTTCATGAGGGTACGGAACTCCACCCCAGCTGCATCTCGGTAATACTTGGCAAACCTGGGGGGACAGGTGCAGGAGGGAGGCCTCAGTCGGCCTGGCCTGGCCTGGCCTTGCCTCCTTGGCAGCACAGACCTGGATGCTCTGAGGACTCACAGGCACTCCCAGGACCCAACTCTCAGCAGCTCCAGGGGAGAGCTGTAGACCCTCTCACTGAGCCAAGTAAAAAGACTCATCCAGATCTTTAAAATTCCTGCCAGACATTCCCCAAGGAGCAAGGGTTTTCCCACTACACCCCAGGCAACTCCTGGGCCACTAAAGTGCTGATGGAATCGACCCGCAGAGAAGCCAAGCCTTGGCTTATGGAGAGAGCAGGGCAGGAAGAGACACTCTCCTCTCGCAGAGTTCCCACCTCCACCCCAACC